ATGTGGTGTAAGAAAGTGATCCAGTTTCATTTTTTTACATGTATCTGTCCAATTTTCCCAGCATCACATATTGAAGAGACTGTTTTTATCCCAGAGAATATCCTTGCCTCCTCTGTGGTAGATTAATTGACTGTATAAACAAATTTCTATTTCTGGGCTCTCAATATTCTAGTCCATTGATCTATATATCTGTATGTCTGTACTGTACTGTTTTGATTATTGTAGCTTTATAGTATAGTTTGAAATCAGGGAGTGTGATACATCCCACTTTGTTCTTTCTCAGGGTTTCTTTGGCTATTTGAGGTCTTTTGTGGTTCCATATAAATTTTAGGCTTAGTTGTAGTTCTGAGCAGAAGGCCATCGGTATTTTAATAGGAATTGCATTGAATCTGTATATTGCTTTAGGTACTAAGGACATTTAAACAATATTAATCCTTCCAATCCATGAGCACGGTGGTATATCCTTCCATTTATTTGCATCCTCTTCAATGTCTTTCCTTAATGTCTTATAGTGTTCAGCATATAGGTTTTGCCCTCTTTGGTTAGGTGTTGTTTTTTTTTATGCATTTGCAAATGGGATTATTTTCTTAATTTCTCCTGATCATTTGTTATTGGTGTATAGAAATACAGACTTTGTATCCTGCAGCTTGACTGAATTCATTTATTCTAATAGTTTTTGGTGGAATCTTTTAAGGTTTTTTATATACAGCATTATGTCATCTGCAAACAGTGCAAGTTTTACTTCTTTCTGATTTGTATCCCTTTTATTTCTTGTCTAATTGCTGTGGCTAGGACTTCCAGTACAATGTTGAATAGAAGTGGTAATAGTGGGCATCCTTGTTGTATCCTATCTTAGAGGAAAAGCTTCAGCTTTTCACCATTGAGTATGATATTAGCTGTGGGTTTGTCATATAATATGTTGAGGTATGTTCCTTCTGTACCTACTTTGTTGAGAAGTTTTTGTTTTTTTTTAATCAAACGGATGTTGAATTTTGTCAGATGTTTTTTTCTGCATTGAGATGTTCATGTGATTTTTTTAGCTTTCATATTGTTAAATGTATCACGTTGATTGATTTGTGGATGTTGAACCATCATCCTTGCATCCCTGAGATAATGGGATTTTAACAATCCTTTCAGTGTACTGTTGAATCTGGTTTGCTGATATTTTGTTGAGAATTTTTACACTTATGTTCATCAAGGATAATGGCTTGTATTTTTTTTTTTGGGGGGGGGTAATGTCTTTGTCTGGTTTTGGTATTCGGGTAATGCTGGCTTTGTAGAGTAAGTTAGGACGCGTTCCTTCCTCTTTGATTTTTTTGAAATAAAGGATAGGTATTAATTCTTTAAATGTTTGGTAGAATTCACCTGTGAAGCCTTCTGGTCCCGGGCTTTTATTTGTTGGGAGTTTTTTTTATTATGGCTTCAATTTCATTGTTAGTAATTGAACTGGTCTGTTTAGATTTCCTGTTTATTCCTGGTTCAGCCTTGAGAAGTTATATGCTTCTAGAAATTTATCAATTTTTTCTAGATTATCGATTTGTTAGCATATAATTGTTTGTAGTCTTTAATGCTTCTTTATACTTCCATGGTGTCAGTTGTAACTTCTCTTTCATTTATGATTTTATTTATTTGGATCCTTTTTTTTCTTCATGAGTTTGGCTAAAGGTTTGTCAATTTTATCTTTTCAAGGAACCAGCTCATAGTTTCATTGATCTTTTCATTGTTTTTTTAATCTCTATTTCGCTTATTTCCACTCTGATCTTATTTCCTTCCTTCTGTTTTTTGTTTTCTAGTTCCTTTAGGCATAAAACTAGACATTTGGGATTTCTCATTTCTTGAGGTAGGCCTGTAAAGCCTGTGAACTTCCCTTAGAACTGCTTTTGCTGCACCCATAAATTTTGAAAAATTTTTCATTTTCATTTGTCTCAAGGTAGCTTTTAATTCCCTGTTTGATATCCTCTTTGATCTATTGGTTGTTTAGTAGAATGTTGTTTAATCTCCACATATTTGTTTTCTTCCTATAGTTAATTTCTAGTTTCACTGTGGTCGGAAAAGATGCTTTGTATGATTTCAGTCTTCTTGAATTTATTGAGGTATGTTTTATGGCCTAATATGGTTTAATGTGTTTTTTTATCCAACTTCACTCTCAGTCTGTGTGTCTTTCAATTTGAAGTGAGTCTCTTGTAAACAGCATATAGATGAGTCATGTTTTTAACGCTGTCTTTTTATTAGAGCGTTTAATCATTTTAAATTTAAAATAATTATTGGTGTGTACTTATTGCCATTTTGTTAATTTTTTGGTTGTTTTTGTGGTTCTCTTCTTCGTGTTCTTCCCTTGTGGTTTGCTGATTTCCTTTAGTGTTTTGTTTGGGTTCCTTTCTCATTATTCTTTGTGTATCTTTTGTTGGCTTTTGGTTTGTGGTACTATAAGGTTTATGTATATCATCCTATATCTATAGCAGTCTATTTTAAGGTGATAGGCATTTAAGTTCGAATATATTCTAAAAGGACTACATTTTTATTCCCCCTCCACACTGTTTTTGATGTCATATTTTAGATCTTTTTGTTTTGTCTTATTGTAGTTTGGGTTGAGTTTGGTACTTTTGTCTTTTGACCTTATTAGCTTTTTAAATGTCCTATTTGCTGTATTAAATATTTGGCTTCACCTGTGAAATGTTTGCCTTTCTCATGTTTTCTTATTTCTGGTTATGGCTTTTCCTTTTCTGCTTAAAGACGACCCTATAACATTTCTTGTGAACCTGGCTTAATGGTGATGAACTCCTTTAGTCTTTGCTTATCTGGGAAACTAGCTCTCCTTCAATTCTGAATGATAACCTTGCCAGGTAAATTATTCTGGGTTGTAGGTTCTTTTCTTTCAGCACTTCAAAGATGTCCTGCCACTCTTCTGGCCTGTAGAGTTCCTGCTGAGAACTCAGCTGAGAGCCTTATAGGGTTTCCTTTGTATGTGATTGTTTCCCCCTTGCTTCCTTCAAGAGTGTCTCTTTAACTTTTGCCATTTTAATTACAATATGTCTTGGTGTGGGTCTCTTTGAATTCATCTTGTTTGAAACTCTCCCTGCTTCCTGGACCTGCGTGTCTCTTTCCTTTCCCAGGTTAGGAAAGTTTTCAGTCATTATTTCTTCAAACAAAGTTTCTGTTCCTTTCTCTCTTCACCTTCTGGGATCCCTATAATGTGAATGTTTGTGTGCTTGATGTTGTCCCAGTGGTCCTTATCCTCACTTTTTGTCTTTTTGCTGTTCTGATCGGTTGATTTCCACTAGTCTATCTTCCCAGTCGCTGATCCATTTTTCCATATTAGCTAATCTGCTTTTGATCCCTTCTAGTGTTTTTCATTTCAGTTATTGTATTCTTCAGCTCTGCTTGGTTCTTTATATACCTTCTGACTCTTTGTTGAAGTTCTCCCTAAACTCCTCTATTGCACTCTCAAGTTTGGTGAGCATCCTTATGATCATTTCTTTGAATTCACTGTCAGGAAAATTACTCTGTTTCTGGTAACACTCCTTTTTTTGAAGTCTACTTTGTCTGACATTAATACAGCACTCTAGACATTACTGTAGCACTCCAGACTTATGTCTGTAGTTTGCATGATATCTATCATATATTGCCATGTATAATGCACTTTTTTGCCCAAATTTGTGAGGGAAAAATAAGGATGCACATTATACATGGATATTGCTAATTCCATATCTATATGTTTTTAATTCTTTTATTTATGCTTGAGTTAAAAGTATAACTCTAGAAATCAATAAGAGTATCTGTATGCAAAATAATACCATGGAATATGATAATCGGTTTTGTTGAACTTACAATGAACTTGCAACGATGAGTTCTTGGCCTCCTATGATGTGTAAATATTGTGAATTTGTTACCAGTACATAAAATTTCTTGTACCTTGTATCTGACTTTATGTTTTGTAATTATTTGTTACATAAAATTCCTTGTACCATAATGTTAAAAAAAATGCTAAAATTCCTTTGTAATACAAAAAACAAGTACTTAAATGTAAACAAATAAAAATTTGTATTAAAAAATTAAAAGATTTGTTCCCTGAAAGTTTGGGCCAAAAATGTGGGTGTGCATTATACACGACAAAATACGGTATATTGTTTTATTCCATTTTCCATGGCAGATAACTGGGCTTTAATCTTTTATCCTTTCTCTGCTTTTTAATTAGAATGTTTATTTCAATTGTATTTTAATGTAATTATTGATATGATTGGCTTTACATTTATCATTTGCTATTTATTTCCTCTTTGTTCCATCTTTTTCTTTTTTCCCCTTTGTTCTTTCTTTCCTGCCCTTTTTTTTAGGGAAGGAGGGAACTAATATTTTTAAGAATTTCATTTTAATTTCCTTATTATCATTTTAACTATACTTCTTTGCCTCTTTTTAATGGTTGCTGTAGGGTCTATAATATGCATCCTTAACTCTTCACAAACTATTTAGGATTAGTTTTGTACCACATCATGTAAAATATAAATTTTCAGCCATGAAGTTTCACATATCCCCTTGTCCTTTAGTTACACATATGTATGTTAAACCTCACGGTATAATATAGTAAGTTTTTGCTTGGAACAGTCCCATGTGATTTTTAATTAAACCAAGATAGTGTTTTATAGTCACTCGCTTGTTTATACTTGTTATCTATGAGCTATTCTGCCATTGGCAGGCAATAATTCTTTCTAAGGTCAAAGTGATCATGGTAATACACTCCAAAGTTTCACTGTCTTTGGAATGCAGTTTTGTACAAATATACTCAATAAGAAGAGCACATTTCCCTTTGCTAGTCCATACTTCCCCTTTCCTCCTCTAAGTCATCTAAAACCACGTCGTCAACTGATTACGTACTTGGCCTCCTTTTCCTAATTCTGTTAAAAATTGCAATGACATGAGCAACTACCATACTAAAAATTACAATAGCTCCTTTCTTACCAGAGTGAATGAGAAAATGCAAATCCACACAGCCCAAAGACAGGACAGGAATTCCAACCCAGTATTTATTTTTTAAGGAAATTAAGTTCACATTAATGTGGAAAGCATGTGCTTCTAGTTTGCTGTCCCTGGAATGCAAAGTGCCTTATGTTCCCTTCCTTTCTTCCTTCCCCTTGCCCAGCACCACTCTCCTGGCTTGTTTCTTATATCACCTGCTTCTCCTGTCTCCTTTGTGGGCTCTTCTCCCTTTCAATATTGGTTTTCCATTTTTGGTCCCGTCTTATTCCTAGCTTTCCTTGGGTGACTTTCAAATCTGTGGTTTCAGCTATCACCGAAATTACTCCTGAATCCTTATCTTCAAGTTAGATTTCACACCGGAAATCTAGCTATACACATATCTAAATGGCTATCATCCTTTGGATGTCTCAAATATAAACGTCTAAACCTATACTCCACGACACTCGACCCTGGCCCCCCATGTTCCTCTCTGGTTTGTGTAACTCTGCCCAACAGTGTCCATCCTGCAGTCTGTTCTTATCTACTTCCCGTCAGTCCCTGGTTTCTGTGGGTTTTACCTCCTGACTCTCTCCCATTGCTGCCATCCTCTCCGTCTGTCTTAGCTTGCACCCTCGCTATTTCTCACGCAGATCTCTTCAGTCACAGGCACACGAGACTCCACACCGATATAGCAGCGACCTTTCTCATTTCTCGGTTGCCCAGTTCTGCCACATTCCAGCTGCACGGGCAAAGGTACTGCTTGTTACCTCAGTTTATGGCTGAGATACAAGAACTGAAGAGTTTTCTGCTTAGTTAACTGCTGCTTCAATGTCAAACAGAGCCAGTCATAAAGAACCCCAAACATACTTTGGTTTGGCAGGTCAGTCCTCTGCCTTCAAATTACGCTGATTAAAGGGCACTTTGAGTACCAGGTGGGGACTGGCCATGAAGCAAACTGCTGGCCTGCCATCCCACGGGGCTGTAGTACCGGCTGTGCTGGCACCAAGTAGGAACTTGACATCAGCTTCCTTCTCCAGTTTCAAACTCGGCTTAGAAATAGGTAAGGGAAGACTGTGATCATAGGTTCTTCTAAAAAGTTTTTATTGTGGTCTCTCATTTTTATACCTGAATAACTTGTCCCAAAGGGATGATGATACATAATCTTACTCTAAAAAAGACATACAGAAAATGTATGGATAGCATCTCTGTGGTACCAATGATTATCTTAAATAAAAATTCCTTGGTTAAGAAGCTCTGCCCTGGTACTGATGCCAGCCCAGTCCTGGCTCCATACTCTGCCCTCTCCTGACCTCTCAGGAACAAGACAGACCTGTCCTGGATCCCTCAGGCACACGTAGCAGGGTGTGCAATAGGTTTTGGCTGCAAGTTAGAGCTTTTTTCATCAGTTTTCCTTTGAAACTTAGAGCTGAATTATTAATCCGAAATTTGCGTTTGCCTTGGGGCTCATCTGCCCCACAGCCTACGGATCACCTCAGCTAAGCCAAGGCTTCCTTGTGACAAGGCTGCTGAGCAGAAGTCTGTCTCTGACTTTCCTCCTTGAAAGGAGGGTCAGTCAGTCAGCCAGGAGAGAAAACCCTTTCAAGAGCAAACAGCATCATGTGCCCTGGAGCTATGCACGGACAGTCGTGAGACTTACTCTCTGCTGAAAGGACCTGCCTGGCTGTCTCCTGTCTCCTATATTTAAGGGGCTCCTGGGGGCTGCACAGGCCTCAGGCTCCTTGTCACCACTACAGACGTGGACCTGGCTCTGGTGCCCAGGGAACCTGCTGGCCTCCACCTGGCCTGTGTCATGTGACCTTTCCTAATCTGCTACATCCTTGCCCGAAAAACCCCTGCTCCGGGGTCATCCTTCTATTTTTCTCTTATTTGTGCTGGGGCTTCAGCTGGACTTGCTTCCACAGCAGGCTCTGGCTCCAGAGGAAGAGATGGCGGCTTTGTGAGCTGAGCTGTTCCTCCCGCACCTAGTAACAAAACAAACAGCTTGGGTTCTCGGTTCCATGGTTCCAGAAGAAATCATTACTTTCACTGTTAAATTTCAAGAAATCCCCTATTTTCTGGGACCAGTGGGACTGGGGGTGTATCTCTGCAGCTATGAAGCTAAACCCTAACTGAAGAAATAAAGCAACAGTCAAGTTTGTCTTCAGTGACTCACTGAAAAACCTTTAATCACCTGCACCATGCCAGCTTATAAGGCAGTGAAGTTACAGTAAGACTACATAAGAGAAGGCACTGCAGTATGTTCCTAAACTGTAATAGGATCAAGACCCAGTATATTAACCATCCCACTAAGCCTGCCAGTGGCTGTTAGCTAATGTACATCTTGTCTTAAAGAAGCAGGTGCCAATTTGGCCACCCTTCTAGGTGACATTCCATTGGACATGTTCTGAGACTGAAAAGTGCAGGCCTCACCTCAAGCTGTAACCTCTAGACTGGCGCATGTGGCTGCACCCACTTGGTCTTCACAGCACTGCATGTACCTCTTACCTGAGGGAAGCGTCCTGCGTGCAGCTGCTGAAGACATCGCCTGTCCCAGAGCTTGATTAGAGCCCAGAGGCTGCTGGGAACTGGCAGCTTTGCTGCTTGAAGTGGTCCGGTGCTTTGATGTGGCATCCTTCACTGGTTTAGTCCAGACCAGCGCCTCCCCAACCTGGAGAGCAGCTCCCAGCTTCTGAGCTGTCTCCACCATCTTGTGCCCACATGGAAAGAAGAGAAGAATCAAGATATGACCGGCAGAGACAAGCCTACCTGCCTCCTCCTAGGCCTTCCACGAAGGGGGTTTAGCTGAGGCAGCGTCTTCCGGTACTAGCACTTGAGGGAGGACATACTTACTGCAAGGAAATCATTCTCAGAAACACAGATCGCCCTTAGTGGGTGACGTGGGTGTTCATGCAGGATCTCAAACCCAGTAAGTCAAGTTCAGTGCATTACTGGGCTAACCACCTTTCCCACCACAGTGGGAGGAAGCTACAGAGACACAGGCCTCAGCTCAGATGAGCTGTGTTATCAGTAACAGACAACTCAGGAAGCCTGAATTTCCTCTTAGTAGTTTCTTCCAGGGAAGTCTTTTTTTCTCAGGCTGTTACTAATTGATTAATTCATGCTGCAAGGAACATCAAAGCCCAAACAGGCATGAGCCTATGTCATATTTGGGTTAAGCTTCATTCAAAGCCTCCTGACAGCTTGCTTCTGACTCCTGGAAGCCAACAGAAGACGTACCTCAGGGTCAAACTCCAGAGCGCTCCCGTCCTTGAGCAGGCTGACCTTCCTCTCCACCTCCTGGTACTGGGCCAGGGCGCCCCTCTTCTCACCCTGGTTGTACAGCAGCACGGCGTAGTTCAGGTTGACTAAGGGGTTACACCTGCAGCAGGCAGACAGGGTGCTGCGCAGCTTAGGTTTTGCCACAAATGCTCATTACACAACAACAAAACAAAACTGAGTAAGTAGAGATTTCTCCATGCTGCAGCAAGGTGGGAACACACGTGTGGACCTGTGGCAAAGCAGGTACTAGGACCCAGCGTGTCATCTCAGCCCTCAGCGGAGACCACCGGGCCCGGCTGAAGAAGGGCCCCCTGCCCTGCTACATAGCCCATGCTAGGGAATAAACCCCGAGTCAAGTTTATCTTAGATTAAAGGAGCTCTGAGTCCCATCTGACAGCCCAACTAGCCCATGGCTTTCAGCCACCCGAGCCCAATGCCGGCTGTGACTTCCTCTGGCCTCCTGACTGCTAAACGTGCACCGGAAACGTCTTATCAGAAAGTGCCAGTGTCGGTCCCTGCAGAGCCACTGCATGCTTCGTACTACATCCTGCCACACTTGGGCCCGCTGTGTGCCATGGCCACAGAGAGCAAGCGTCTGGGCGAGTCAGGCTGCACAGGTGCTGTGGTGCCACCTCGCGGCTGGGAGGGGCCAGCCCACCCCAATGCCCTCCCCGGGGAGCAGCTTACAGATCCAAGCGGGCTGCTTCTGTGTAGGCTCTCTTGGCATTCTCTGTATCGTCCAGGTTGGTCAGAGCCACTGCAACAAAGAGTGAGCACTGCAGCTGGGAAGCCCAGCTTAGAAAGCAAAAGGAAGGTTTCAGGACCACAGTTCATTCAGCCCCAAACTGAACTTGGCCCTCTCAGCTCCTAGCACCACCACTTACCTACTCAGTCACTCAGCTTAGATACTCGATATCATCTTCAACAGACCCTTCTCCACAGTCAGTCAGTTGCCAAGTTCTGTGAATCCCATTTTGGGCAGTTTCTTTTCTGACACTGCCTTTATTCAGGCCTGAGTCATTTCAGGCCATGGCAGTGTCCTCATCCACCTCCCTCCACTTGTTACAATGCTGCCAGGTTTCTCACTGACTTACAAATCTGACCATGTCACTACACTGCTTAAGAATCCTCGCGGGTCCTCCATCACCCGTAACCATGATCTTTAAGCTTTATTTGGCATTAGGACACTCTCACCCTTTTAATCAGTATTTTCTGGAAGCCTGATCTATTAAAAAACAGTGAGAGCGGCTCTGGAAGCCCTGCTCAGTCCACCTCCCCACCACCCACTCACTCACTCAGCTCTTCCAGACACTTAAGCAGAGATCTAGGAATGCAGCTGGGAAACACAGCCTCCGGACGTCTGTAGTCCTTGCACCATACCATTGTCCTCCAGAACCTGACCACCTGCCCCCCCCATCTCTCCCCCACCCAAGACTACCTTTCCTGACTCACCTCCCACTGCATCCTGTGACTCACCTCCCACTGCATCCCGTGCTAACGGCACGGCACAGTGTGCAGTTTCATGGCTGCAAGCCTTGGTTCAGTGGCTCCTCAATCATCCTGCGCTAGAGCTGCAGCTTATCCTTCAGAACAGTGAGGGCCTCTCTGTGTGGCGTTGCGTGTGCCTTACAGTGTGGCAACCGCCTGACATTCCATCCCCATTAGAACCAGGCTAGCTCTGTATTCGGGCAACCCCCAAATCACCACCACTCACTCAATCTGCTTTTTCAGCCTTTCTCTTATAAATACAAACCCTACAATACGACCAAAAAAAAAAAAGCACCTGAAAACCAGTGTCAACAAGAACATGGATACTTCTTTTGGGCTTAACATTTAGTAAGTTTAGGATATGGAGAACTATCCCCCAGAAAGAATACTTTACTGTTACATTACAGTAACAATAGCATTAATATAACAGACCAATATATAATGACAACAAAACCAACAGTTAATACTCCTTGGTTATTTAAACCTCTGATCCTCTCACCAACCCTCAGAGATTTATCTAGTAAGTGGAGGCAGGATCCTTCCTGAAGCCCAAGCTCTTCACACTCAGTGACATATAGAACTTAGCTGGACTCAGTATATAACTAAATGAATTACCAGCCAGGGGAAACATTTGGTAAAAGATGGACTAGGGATGATCTTGACTTAACCTGTTGGTCTCTGAGCAAAATTCCCCCAAGTCAGAAGCCACCAAGCCCTTTATCATAATCTTTTTCTTTCATGTTTTTTTCAAGCTCTGGACAGTGACCCAGACTCCCCTGGGACCAGACTCCATAGAAGGGAGTGGCTTCTATGGGGAGCTACTGGCCTCCAATGACACTGACTGACTGCAGACTGTGGGGGCTTCTCCCCGTAAATGCCTCTTACCAGCCAAGAGCATGTAGAGCTCCCCCATCTTTGGCCGGAAGTTGATGGCTGCACTGAGAAAATGGAAAGCGGATGCATACTGCTGCATGGTCAGGTGGACAAGGCCCAAGTTATAGAGAATCTTCCAATCGAAGGGTGCCAGGTAGTTGGCTCGTTTGAGGCAGCTGATAGCCTGCACGAGAGGGGGGACCCTCGGTGAGGCTGGGCACGCAGGGCAGACCCCGCACCCGCACACACGCCCACACACAGGGGAGGCCAGCAGACACCCACAGCTACGTATTTCTTCTTGCCAAAGAAACACATTCCAATGTTATTCCAGAGTGGAGGACTTTCTGGGACGGCACAAGCCACAACTCGGTATTTGGTGAGGGCAACGTCGAAGTCTCCATGGGCCTGCATCATGCTGCCGGCTGCCAGGATGGCCTGGAAGCAAAAGACATGGAGAGCCGGTCCCTGAGTCATCCCCAAATGGATGGGGCAGTAAGAAGCCTTGCTGGGGGCGGACACCAGCATAGACAGGACTGAACTGCTTTCAAGGACACAGTAATATTCAAGCTACTGGGACAGAGCTCTGCAGACCATACTATGACTCTCTATGGCACAGCACAGAAAAAGGTAAGATGTGGCAGACTTTACCCAGATCATCTGCCTCCTCCATCTAGCCAGGGAAGTGAGTATCTCTGAGCATCAGCGCCCTTGCAGTAAAAACCGCCTTTGATCTGTCCCCTGCAGCCCCTACTTGGTACTCCAAGCGCTCCAGACAACTCAAATGCTGCTCTTTACCATTTAAGTCGCGGCTCCTCCTGCCGCAGGACAAAGGTGAGTCAACTCTAGGCTTCAGCAGCCCAGCCCCTCCACGTCTCTAAGGAAAGGTGTGTGTGTGGGGGGGCGGGGGGGTTGACAGGCCTGGCCACTGTGACTCCCACACTGGCCTGAATCTGTGTCCTTCTCAGCCTGTCCTGTGGCATCTCCCACATAGACACTCATCATCCACTTGATGACCTTCTCATCCCTAAGTCATACTGCACAAGAGTTGTAACTGCAAATGCATTAGGAATCTAGAAGTCATCTACCAGAATTACTTCTGACAATAGTTGTGGAGGCTTTGCTAATTCCCTAAATAACACACAGAACTTTACCAGCACAACAATTTTGCTTTCTGCATAAGTTACAGCCATGTTATAAACAAATATCCTCTTTTGGAAAATAAGCAGCACAGCATCAGCACTTTACAATATTTTCACATAACAAGAGCCATGCTTATTTATAACTTTCTTTGTGGGTCCAGTCACCTCGAGGGGCAGTGGGGCACCGTGTGCAACGGCGCAGGGCTGGGTGGCCTGCTGTACCTTGTAGTTGGCAGGGTCATACGTCAGTGCGTTTCCAAGGTGTTCAAACGCCTTCTGGTAAATGCCGAGCTTGGAGAAGAAGTAAACCAGAGAACTGTATCAGCAGGGAGATGGCCGTTAAGGAATCTGGCCAATCACACCCTGACCTTTCTGAGTCTCCTGACCAAAAAAAAAAAAAAAAAAGCTACAGATACCAGATAGAAAAAGTAAACTAAAAGTCCCCCCATTTTGCTGACTTGTCTCCTGATGAGATCAAAGTATCTATTTGCAGAAACCATCTCTGTCCCACTGCTGTCCCACACTATCTCATAGCAGGAAGCGGGCTAGTTAGCTTCATCTCCCCCCTGGGGCGGGGGTGGGGAGAACAGCCTCCCAGCCAAAGCCCAGCAGCAGGCCCAGGGGTAAGCTCCTGATTCCTTTTAAAGAAAAAGTAAACACACAGCAAGGCTACCAAAGAGGCACAGCTGGAGGAAGGAGCAGCTGAGCAGGGAGCCTGGGGAGCTGAAAGGGGACTCGGCAGTAGAGGCCCCTCCCCAGCCGGTCCTCAGGCTGATACAGAGAAGTGATGGAGCTAAAAGAATGCCAGTCACACTCAGGCGTGTGGAGGGAGGCGTCTTACTCTAGACAATGTGTCGCCTTCTCTTTCCTACAGGACCTGGCTGGGGAGAAGGGACAATAGAAGCGGCCTTAGCCCACACCCTATCAGTGCCAACATGTGTCCTATTTTCTCCCCCACAGACAATGCCAGCCCCCCTGACCAGACAGTTGTTTCTCATAGATGCTCTTTCCTCTAATTATAACTGCACTAGACTCAAGTAGATCTGCTCTTGATTTGAATGCAAAAAATTAAGTTAATTCCTATAACAGATAGGAACAGATAATGCAGAGAGAGGTTCATGCTTCATAGGACCTTTAGTGAAATGAGTTCAAATAAAATAAAAATGCAGGGAAACCACAATACACACAAACCCCAAAGCATTTCTAACATCGGTGCATGAATGAGTAAATAGTTCTCCTTACCTGTAAGTAGAGCAATCCTAAGGTTGTAAGAAGCTCTGTATTTTCTGGTGAGAACCTACGATACAGACCAACACAGAGCTGCAGAGGGAAACCAGGTGTGTCTGAGAGACACTGAGGCACGTGGTCAGTGCCATTCCCGTGCAGCACCTGACACAAGACTGCTGCCCCACTCCCCATGGGAATCCCCGCAGGTGACCTGGGGATTGCCTCCATAGTGGTTCCTCTCAACCCTGGTGACTGCTCAGCAAGAAAGAGAAATGGCATTAGAATCCAGACTCCTTTCCTGGACCTTTTCTTAGCGCCTGAGAAAGAGCCTATGGAATATTTTGTGTGACTGTCTTGATTACACTGATAGAAGTGAAGAACAATGTTTTATAAACCAAGTCCATCTACAGCACACATAGTTTTAGCCAGTTCCCTTTTGTGGGTTTTTTTTTTTTTTCTGTTCTCACTGTACTCACAATGGTAGCCTGCATACTTTTCTGTGTAATATACAATCCCAAGGGCCCAAATGCTCTGCTCTGCATATTAAACAAAAAGCCACACTAAACAGCCAAACTAAACAAAAGAAAGAAGATACATACTAGCTCCAGGAAAGACTTAGCCATTGCCCTTGGGGAGTAAACACTGGCTTAAGTAAAAGATTATAAGTCCCTCACTGATATTTATCTTCGTTACAGAACCAAAGCAGCACTGAGCTGAGATGATCTGAATGCAGACTCATCAAGCAGTTTCAACAGTAAAAATGCCAAAAGCCAGGAACAATGTCTCCTGCTTCTAAGGAATGAGGCAAGGCACAGGTTACCTATGAGGAGACCAGAGCCAGAAGGGTCAAAGCCCCCGCCAGGAAGCCTCAGCTGGCCAAACACAGCGTACTCAGTTCAGCTGAGTGTTTGCCCTTCATTCTCTGCCATAATAATATCCATTTTGATCACCTCCCTCCCACAAACCAAGTAACTTCCACGATTCTGGTGGCACACCCCCACCCACCAAAACATAACTGCTATCCCCAAGCTGTGGGTCTCTACATTCTCCATGAGACTCCAAATGCTCAGCTGTCTGTCTCCTTTTCTCCCTTGGGAAGTTTTGTGACTTAAGTCCTTGACCAGCCTCTGGGAAAACGTCACCCTTCAGATTCATGTGAGCTAATCTCCTAGAGGCAGGGACCAGGGATCAAGGCTTCCAATGGCCCCAGAGAAACTTAACATTTGCTGCATGGGCTCCTTCCTACTTGTCCACATAAACTGAGCCTCTTGATGACAAAAGTCTCTCTTGTAGCTTAACAAACCAAGGGACTTTTATGTTTTTACTCTCAAAATGTGACTAAAGAAAATTCAGAAAGCTGTGTTGTGACTGATGTAACCAGAAAAGTTACATTACCATGGTAGAAGACAAAGGTAATTTAACAAATTAAGTCTAGTTCATAGTCTAATTATCTGTCACCAGGCATTCTGTTAAGCGACCAAACAAACGAGGCACTAAAGCATTTTGCTACAGCTACTCCGCTTAAAACAATACAAGACCCTACACAGAAAAGGCAAGCTAGCGTGTGTCCCTAGAGTGGAAACATGGAACGCCATCCTGGGAAAGCCAGTCAGCTCCATTGTCAGTAGGGTTTGGCCTCACCTAATGGTGTTTTTTAAAAAACAAGATATTGGTCTCATGTAAATAAGTGCTTCCTCCTGAGCCCATGTGTGTCTGCTTCCCTTGCAGCTAGGTGTGGTCATGTTGCTAATTTCAAACCATGAAATGGGAGCAGGAACTATGTGTGTAAGATCTGGGCCATTTAAAACACGAGGAGCTGCTGAGTCAGTATGTGGTTTCCTGCACCCCTCCCCCCACCACACCCTGGAACATGGACGCTACAGTATGTCAGCTTCACTCCTGCAGAAGAGGACAACCTAAGCAATGGAACCTGGTTCCCTGAGGGGCCTTGCAGAGCAGCGCTGCCCAGCTAGGCTAGACCAGCCATAGTACTAGAGGAGAAAGAAACACAAGTCTTCCTTATTTAAGCCATTGGGAGCTCTTAACCTGAGCTAACCTTTAACTCACACAACTAGTACCAGTCACACATGGTCTGTTTAGGCTTGGCAGTTCATATATCTGCTCCCGTTATTTTTAGCTTCTCCTTGATCTACAGGAAACACACACTTACTCCACTGCTTTCTTGTAGACTTCGATGGCCTTATCCACGTCTCCCTCCAGCAAGTGGATCCTCCCCAGCATCATGTAGGTCAGGTCGTGCCTGTTGAGGTGCAGGGCGCTCTGCAGCTGGTCCTGTGCCTGACAGATTGGTGAAGGAGAGAACCAGGTCACTACCATGAAGGCCGGTGGCTCTGTATGACCCTGGTACAAACAGAGCTCCCGCTATACTAACGTGGGAATATCACATTCCGGCAAATAGCCCTCACTGCCCCCAAACCGAAACATGCCTAAACTACTTGCTGACAGGACAGCCGACAGCATGGGGTCTGCCTGCAGAGCCACTTGGAAGACTTTATACAAGATGATGAACCTTTCTGAGTGTCTTCTACTTCTTAACCATACCCATGACTCATACTTTCCAAGTGAAAAGGACATCACAGTACAGTACTCAGTGCTGCCCTGAACCTGATGCCACCTGCACCACTGACCAACTGCACAGCCTCCGCCCCCGCCCCCCCCCGGGGTGGGTGGGGGGAAACTGCATTTTCCTCACAAATATTTTGGTAAACGAATGAATGGATTGCTCTCATTTATGCACTCAACATGGACTCATCGAGTGCCTGTTGTTCTAGGTGCTAGATGTCCTGGAGCAAACAAAACAAACTCCTCACTCTGTGAAAGCCGCTATCCTTCTTAGTAGATCGTGGAAAGGGCTTTGTTTAGTCATTCACTGATTTAATAGGTATTTACATAAATGTCAAGTACTGTATTTGCTGTTAGCTTTACAGTAAAATCTCAATATAATTCTCCTCCTCAGTGCAGGTCTGACCAAAGACCAATCCTACTCTCCTCTCAGAATATCCTGGTAACAGAAACGTACTTGGCTTGGAATAGTCTCTGAAGAGCAAAGTCTCCTAACCAAGCATATAACACTGTAGATCTGTCCAGGAAACATATATATATATATATGTTTTATATATATATGTTTTATATATATATAATATATATATATATATATATACACACACACACACACACACACATACATATACATGTATGTGTGTGTATATATATGTTTAATTTATTTATCATATATCTTATAGGAGAAAAGTTACTCTCACACCTAACTGCTGATGTACAGATTTTTTTTCACATCCAAGGGACAGATTAGGTTGCATCAGTGTGCAAACTGATGCAGATTAAACATTGTTAACTGGGTATTAACCAACTCAGATTTTCAGTCCTGTCGGCACTGGAGAAAGGAGACTAAAACTTCATAATCACTAAGTGGAAGCTTTGTGAAGCAGGCTCTACCCAACCCCTGTCGTAACTGTTAGAACACTCAGTAACTTAGCCCACACCTCAATGAAGACATACTCGTACACGTTTTTTCTCTATCTGAGTACCAAGGTACGCTCAAATGTTTTATCTGATATGAGGGCCTAAGAGCCTTCAGCTTAATCACAGTGAAATATAAGTTCTCACATGGAAAATAACCTTAAAAACTGAAACTCTCAGAAATCAGATCTACTAAGAACTTTTAAAGTTCATTTCCAATGACCTTAAAAACTGAAATAAGTCACTGTTAGAGCATACACAAGCTCACATGGTCATATTATACTTTTAAGATAGAAGGGTTCACTTTTTTGATAGCTAAGTTTTACTGAACATTTGTTCCTATACTGGAAAATTAAACTGGGAAAGAAAAAGAAGAGAGGAGAAAAGCAATTAGATTGCCATTCCTCCATAATATCTCTAGAATTTTTCATTTTCTTGTTAAAAACAGAAAAAAAAAACAGATGGACAATGACAAATGAGAATAAAAATGGGTATAAATGTATATGGCACCTTCAATTTTCATTTCCAAAGATGTCTGCAAGCACTAGGAATACTATAAAATGAGTGAAATCTCCAGCCATCACCCAACTGCTACCGCCATTTCTGTGAGTTACCTTGTTGAACTGTTTCAGATAAATGTAGCAAACTCCTAGGTTATGACAGATCTCCTACACAAAAAAGAAAGGAAAACAACTTAGGTGTCAATTCCACCGTGTCAGTGAAATAACAGGCATCTACATATTGTTACTGTTCAGCAGTTTAAACTTTGAAACATGCACTACAGTTAGTTTACTAGATTTCATACTCAAATGTATTTAATTCTATAAAATGGATTCCTTAATTAAAAACCCACAGATTATGAGATAAAAGCAGAACCAACGGGTGATCCTGAGTCTACGTGGTAGCTTGGGGTACATATCCTGCCCGCCCCCATACCTTTTTTCTCTAAGAGCTGCCCACTACCCACATTCTTGGTACCCTCTTCTCAGAAGGGACTATCCACGGCCCCTGCCCCACCCTAAGAATATACAGGGGATACCACAAAAATGTATACAAGTGGACATTTTGGTCAACGTTGCTGAAGCAGTAGTTCGCCGTAATCAGAAGTGTCTGGATGCTCATGGTAACCACTTTGAGCACCTCTGGTAACTGCAGAAGTCAAACGTGACTTGTATTCATCTTTTGTTATCAGTATATATTATTATAATTAATACAGTTTTCCTTTCTTAAAGTGTGTATATATTTTTTTGGCACCCTCTGTATAAATGTCAATCAGATCCTTTTCCCAGGAATCAAGGAATTCACTAGATGTGACTTGGGGGCTGACAGTGCCATCTAGAGGGCACTATGATGGAATACACGTAACTGGAGTCAGGCTGTAGCTGCAGACAGAAGGTCCGCAAACCAAGGCCCACACACCACATCTGTCTTCTGCCTTTTCTGGTAAAGTTGTACTGGAATGTCTACAGCTCTTTCACACTAGAACTTCAGAGTTCAGTAGCTGCAACAGAGACTACTTGAAGCCACAAAGCTTAAAATATTTACTAACTGGCCCTTTACAAAAAACACATGCCAGCCACTAATCTACAGGAAGAAAAAATGGAACAAATGCACAGTAGCTGCTACCTTGTTTGCTGACAGTGGTCCAGTTCTAGTTCACTGCAACATGGATTTCCTGACATTGAGTTCTACAGAATCTCTTGAATTCCCTTTATTAAGTCTCCCTTTATTTAAGGTAGCTTTAAAGAAAGGCGAACACATCTAGAGAGGGACGTGGGGCTGTCAGCAGGAATCAGGCTGGTAAGACGGCTCATCAACAACACTCACTGCCAGAAAACCACGCAGCAGTGCCTGCTAAGTTAGGCAGACACGGGTGTTTTGGTCTTACCCCTAGGCAAACTGATCAAGTGTGAGGGTAAAATAAAGACACTGTTGGCATGTAAGAATTTAGTAATAACAAAAGACAGCCCTATGATGAGTGGAACCGTCAGCACGTTACTAATAACAGAGAACGTAATGGTCCCTCCTTACCCAATCTTTCTGGTTGAGCTTTGCTGCTTCATTATATACTTCAGTGGCAGCTTTATGTTTTCCCAAAAGAAACCTGTGGAAGAAAATACATTTCCCATAACTATTAACACTAAGCTTTTATAAGACTAACCCCCCAGGTCCCACATTTGACTCATATTCCATCCAGCAGAGAATTCTGGAAGCCTGCAGTTTGGCCAGTGAGACTACACTGGTAGCTAGCTGTTCCAGAGTCTTGGTCCCATTCTACACCAATTTTAGTGAAAGCCTGTAATTTATTTTCCACAGTATACCACAAACGTAGACCAAAAAAGAAGCTAAATCACATACCATGCTAAGCAAGAGCTGACATCATTTCTCACCATCCTCTATTAGGGACATGCCCTTCCGTCCAAACCTAAGTCTCTTAACATTGGATCATGGTTCTAGAGAGACGGGAAAACCAGGCTCTATGCAGACAGTACAGATCTAACTAACAATGCAGGTAAGACAGTGGGGATGAGAAACCCCCGGAACACGTTACTACTATGGAGTAGTGAAGCTATGAGTGTACCTAACAGCTTCAAAAAACTTAGGAGGTTGCTTGCATCCAGGAACCTTCAGGGCATTCACTCAAGAACACTTACTAAACCTACTGTGTGTCACGCATTATGTTAAGTGTCAGATGAGAAAAATTCCATGGGTTGCCAATAAGATTAGGGGACTGAGGGCACAAGATGTCACTATTTATGTGATACAGCATCAGTCTTACCCAGTCAACCTAGAATATACAGTGTTTATTTTCAGTTCCTTTATACAAGTTATCTCATTTTGTCAAACTTCAAAATGAATCCACACTCTTCAGAGTGAATCCCACTCCACCTATGAAGCAGCTCTCCCTGTGTGTGTTAGACTGCTCAGGCCGAGCATGCACCGTACATTGTTCCTTGATGCTGTACAGCCCAGGGCCTCCAGGCTGCCAGTACTCACAGAGATCTGGCCACCTGCTTGAGGTTATCAGCGCTCTGAGGGCTGAGAACAGCACACGTCTGAAAGAGTTCCAGGGATTCTTGGATATTTCCTTCCAGGCGAAGTATCAATGCTGCCAAGAAAGAGAAAACACAGAAAATCAAATCTTGTTCCGGGGAGAATGGAGCCTGGTATCAGAAAAATTGAAGAGGGAGGTGGAAAATCATATCAAAGAAATTCTTTGGATTAATTATCTTTAACTACAATCAGATATGACTTCAGATGGGTTGAAACAAGTAGCAAAGTTGTTGACAAGCTAAAATCTTTTTTGAGACCTGAATGTTTTATTGTAAGAGATACCTTTACTTTGTCTCAGTTAACAAAGGAGCTTACAATATGAGTTCTTCACTTTCCCTTTTATATTAAGGGAAAAAATATGGCCATGCTTAAAAGGGGGGGGAGAAGACATTTAAATATTTGCCAATAAGATTACTCTTCAGAGACTGAATGAGAAGGAGGAAAAAAACATCGTCAGTCTGTTACTCAACAGCACTGGCAAATCTTTGGTTCAGTGATGGGGAACAGGTGTGCTCAGGCTCCTTTCTCGTTCCCGGTACTGACAGCATTTACAACCTGACCATATCACAGGTGTTGTTATGATGCCAAAATTTCTGGAGTGGGGACTCAAGCCCTGGGCTAAAGAAGGTTCTTGACTTCACATAGGAAAGAATTCAACTGTGAGCCCATATAGGCTTTAAAGTAAGTTTATTTAGCAGGCAGTAAGTAAGAAAACAAAGGCTGCCCCACAGATAGCATGGCGGTCTCTAATCACTAGTGGAAGAGAGACCCCCGCCATCCCGGGCTGGGGTTTCTGTGTGTTTCTTGTTTCCATGGAAAGCTTCTTGGTATGGGGAAGAACAAAGGCAGGTTTACCTTTAACTTTTGTAAGGTACAACCCGTGGATAGTTTGTCATAGGGGTAATTATGGGAATGGCCATTACAATGGAATCTCTCTGCTCAATAGGCTGGATGGGTGGTCTGTTCTGCGTGACTGATTAACATCTGCCCGAGTTCTGGTCTGGCTGCTCACAGGCAGCAGACTTGGCATCCAGCCTCCCAGTTCCTTCTTCTGTAAAAATAGTCCTCATGACCCTTCCTTGTATTAGTCAGGCTTGGTGATCGCTAGTTTTCATAGAATTCTCGTGGCCCACTGCTCATGTGCCCCCTCTCAGAAGCAAGGCAGCCAATGGAGACCTCCTCTAAGGTCCTTTCAGGTTCTTCATGGCCTTCACCTCTTGAATCTCAACTTTCCTTCTCTCCTTTTATTTGTCAAATTATGCTGTATTATCCTTAATATTAAAGAATCTGGTTACCTCTTTCAGTTCCATCTTTGCCTCAATACTTGAGTCTAGTAGAACTATTGAAATCAGTTAAATTTTTCTGTTAATTCTTGAGTCCTTTATAAGCAAGAGCTCCTCCACACTTTCACATTCCAGTTACCTGTCTTAATAAAGCACCTGATCACAGTCCTGCTTGGCCTCTTCACACTGGCACAGCTTCAAGTTAACAGAGAGCTTGTTTGTATGAACAGCACATTCCTTATCACTAATATTTATGCATTCACTGTATTTGCTAAGGGCATCTTTACAGTTTTTGTCCTTTACACATTGACTTCCTCCTTCTTTAAGGGTTTTAAACATGTTTTCAACTGTGATGCCTGGTTGGTGATGGATCCAGAAATCTACCACTTTGTTGGTCTGGGGACATCTCTGCCGCAGGCCGCCAAGCTCACCATTGCACAGAAGTGGGCACAGAAGGAATGGGCAACAGCTTCTCCCACCAGCTTGGTCCATCCAGGTCCATTAAAATTCTTGTTATTCTGTAATACTGTCATCTGCTATCTGGATTCCGCTGCCTATTTGCAACACTCATTATCCACATAAGCTTTCTGATACTGCTCTCAGGTTTCCTGGCCATTGCTCGTCACTTGATTGAGAATGGACAGAGGTCAGTGCCCTGTTACAATCTTGAATGCTGCCAGTGCAGTTTCCGTCCTTTAGGAAAGGAAGGAACAGGCTGTTCTGTTTGAATACGATACTTCGATTACCTGCGCTTCACTCCCGTGGGGTGCAGCTGCGCTACCGCCACGGAGTGCTTTGGTGCCACCTAGGTGAACTGCTCGTTTTTGAATAGCTCCTTGGGCCGACGCTCTTTAGGAGGGCGGGGCCAACCCGGACCTACCCAGGCAGCAGAGGCAGCCACGAAGGGGTCCCTGGCACCCCATCTGCCACTCAGCGCCCCTTGACACTACCCGCTGTCGCCCGGGCCCATGGGGCCCCGCTTGTCCGCACTGGCCCCTGACGAACGACCATGCAGCGGTGAGCCCCTCTCCGACCGCTTGCCGCCCTTGCTCTGGTCGGTCAGCTTCTGGATGTTGCCCATGTCACATGGCTCTGCGGTGCGAGCCAGCTCGCGGTCTCTGTGGAAAGTGGATGCGGGAAGCGAGTGTTTGCAGCATCAGGAGAAACTACAGCAGGGGCAGTGCGGATGCCTGGCGCTGAGGTGTGGCCAAGCTAAAACCTATTATAATAAGGTGTCTCAAACCTACCTAACTCCTCTACTCCCAGCATCCACCACGCAGATAATCGGGTGCCATGCAAATTATCCCACAAACTCTTCATAATAGGAACATTCTTGGGCTTCCCCGTCAGATAGATGCTCTATTTATCATGATAATTTACTTCCATCTGCTAATTTTTAAAGAGTACACCCAAATGGGCAAGTGCAATCAATACCCCATGTCCAACAAGGAGATTCTGGCAAAAAAAAAAAAAAAAAAGTAGTAAAAGTAATATTTCAGACTTGTTTTTCAGTACAGCAAATCAGAATCAATAATTATTCCCGGACCTAAGTTTTCAGAAAAATTTCCATGCATAAGTATTAGGAGGCACTGAAAGTCTGGAACTTGTGATATTGGGAATAAAAGAGCACTTTTTTTGCCACGATGTCCTAGATGTGTCAATATCTTACCAATTATGTCAGAAAATCATACATCAATATGAAGACTACAAGTACAATGAGTGGTAAACAAAACAATACATTTATACCAAAAAGTCAAAGAAAGTTCCTGAAAACTAAAGATGCTACTTTTGGCACTAGAAAGTAAAATTTCAGGCAGTGGTTCCTATATTTGGCTTCTAATAAATTTCATTTATTCTCTGCTTTATCCTGTATACCTCTAGGCTTCTTGCCTTCCTCCTGACTCACCTTACTAAAAGTCCTCAAGCCTTTCCCTCATCTCTTTTAGCCTGAGTACAAGGAACCCTTTCGAAAGCTGCTTCTGGGCTTGAAACTGCTGCTGAGGCAGGGATCCTAACATCATTCTGAAAAACACTCGCCAGAAACTAGAAAAGGGGTGAAGCAAATTTTTTTTAACAAAACCAGTCATTTCTGAGGTCAAATCTAGCACAAAAATTATGTTCCAGTTTCAAAAAAACCAATACTGAATGAGACCTTTGTGGAACACTTCTTGAATTTAAGCATTTCATAAGCTGTCTGCTCTTTTTCCAGAACCTAGGCAAAGTGTGCATTCCTCTTGCAAGAAGAGAAGAAATGTCTTACCTTGGACATAGATAGCATATTCACACAGTCCCTGGGTCTCCTGAAGCTGTTCTTTGATAACAGCCTGAAAGAGGAAGAAAAATACTTCTGAGGAGTGGCTAAATGTCTTCAAATGTTTTTAAGAAAAGGTAGACATGCACAAGGAGCAGGTAGGTGTATGGAATCCAGGATACAAATAATTACTAATAAAGTAGTTCAGAATTTTTTTTTTAAATCTCAACTCTCTCGTTATGATCACTTATTGTAGAAAGGGGACTGGCAAACTACAGTCCACAGGCCAAATCCAACCCACACAGCCTATTTTTCTGCAGCTCTCAAACTAAAAGTGGTTTTCATATTTTTAAAGGGTTATAAAAAGTAAGAGAATATTAAGATTATGAGACAGAGGGCCGGCCGAGTGGCACGTTGGTTAACAGCTGGCTTGGGACGCCAGAGGGCCCCGGTTCGGATCACACATATGAGGGCCAGTGACACTGCCCTCTACAGCTAAGATGCTGAACAACAGC